CCTGACTTAGATCAGCCCAGAGGTTGTTTCAAGGTATAAATAAAGTTTGAAGGTTTATAATTTGTTTATTGTTTTCCCCCCGCAAAAGTGAAATATGAGACTTCTAATTAGATCCCATGTACTGACATAAACCTATTAAAAAATTGAAATGAATAAACTTCATCCGTTATTTCACTTTCATTTGTTTAAAATTACAGTGACTGTAATGAATATGRCCTTTCAATTTCAATATTGTTGCATCAGGTTCGGAGTTCTTTCCTGTTAGCCCAAGCTATAGAGTATTCTTCATTAATCTGTCAGAATACTTAAATTTGATTGGATGRATGTTGAAATTAAAAACTACAGTGTGACATGTGCTAAAAATAAAATGATGAAAGTAGTAATACTGGGTCTTAAAGAGTCCTACCTAATGCCGAATATATGAATGTCAAACTTTGCATGAGCCAAACCTAATAAGCTCAGAGGACCCCCTTATTATTATCATGGGAGGTTCTTATATAGCGTGTTTGTACRACATCTCAATGCACTTTACATTTTTATGACCAGTGGAGGACTTTTATGCACTGCATATTAAGACGCTATTAGCAGGCGTGCAGCTTACAATTATCAGTGAATAATAAGTAATTTGTTATTTATTGTTTTTAATGCATAGGCTCGTGTGAAGTTTGCATAAGGCTTGCTTTTGTGATAACACTGACTGTTGTTGATAATAAAATATTCACCATTGCAATCAACCATCATTATCATAATCATCACCCCTTTCATCCCTGCYCCTCTACGATCATCGTAAATCGTCCTTGCTTTACAAGGGTTAGCACTCGAATCGAAATTTAGAAGTTGATTTTTGTGGAGGGAGGAACACTGGAGAGCCCGGATGAAAAACCCTCGAGATAACAGGAGATAACCAACAAACAACTCTACTCACATACAACACCAAGCATGGTTGGACTTGGGTCGCATTGATAAGAAGCAAGCGCTCTCACCGCTATGCTACCTGTGCTTACCAATAATGACTTTTGCATGATTATTATTCAGTATGCGGGTAATTTTTATAATTCATTTAGTTAGTTAATTTTTGTAATTGCATCAACCAAGGCTACCCAAACAAATTTAAAAACTCACATTTTACCRCTGCATAACAGATAGATTTCTGAATTCTGGGTTTTAAGCTGTTTCTTGTTTAWTTCTGGTCATACACACACTGTATGTAGTTGAATATATGATTTTAAAGAGGAAAATGTGAAAATTTGTAAAGATTCTATTGTTTTAAAATACTCAATTGTGATTGGCTAATTTGTATGAAAATTTGTCTGGGTGTCCTTGGTTGGTGTAGTCACACATTAAAAATGTTTGTCTATAAATAAAGACCTTACCTAATATGATGATTATTATTTCATCACAGGTTCTCAGGTATATTTGTTCAAATGAGTACGTCCTTTCAAATGGCCAGCAGTCTGCAAGATTTGGATTGGTGGTCAAGAAACCATGGGACAGCAATGCCACCCAACTGGCCAGTCTTTGAGGTTAGTATATACACACGCACTGGCGTTCAGATTTGTTGATGGCCTATACCCCACAAGGGGAGTAAAGGCTTAGGCTGCGTTCATAATGTATGGCAGGGGGGGCAGATGAAAATTTGAAATGTTCAGAATAATTCTTAACACCCCCCTTTAAAGTCATGCAAAAAGAATATGATTCTCCCGAAGCAAGGCTTGTTGCTTCTTCCAACAATTGTGCATCCCYCCCATCTTTCTGATAAAAATTTGTCTATCCCCCCTTTTCCTGCCAAAATTTTCCCGATGTCCCCTCAATTTTACCTGCTCCCCCCTCAGCCATACATTATGAACGCAGCCTTAGGAGGTTACACACACACACATAAATGTATCTAGGTGAAATCTGTCTGAAATCTCTATCATTAACATTCATTGCGAGCATGTAAGCATATGCATATGGAATATGCACGCTATAAAGGTTCTCAGCTATGTTTCTTAAATGAGTATGTACTGAACATATGCATATGGAATATGCGCTTTATAAAAATAGTATTAAAGTTATTATCAACATTGTTATCATTATCTTGTCCATCACAGTAAGTACCAATGTCATTATCATTGTCATCACCATCATCATCA